CATTAAGCTCTTGTTCGGGGAAACACCCCCTCGCCTTCTAGCCCTGGTTCCTTTTCCACCCGCCCAAAGGCCCTCGAGGCCCTTAGCACCAAGCCCTCATTTCATGGAGCTTCCAGGGTCCTTTCCCACATCCTCGGGTCCCGGTTGCGCGGTGCGAAGCACCTGCTTCTCGGCCACATGGATGGAGAGCCGCTCCTTTCAGGGAAGGCTTCTTCCATGGATCTTTTGGGTTCGGATGCGGGTTTAGGTTGAGGACCAGGGTGACGACTCCGGTGCTTTGTTGGCCCACCACAACACACGACTCCTGGACCTGCACAGACGACATGTCTCAAATCCAAGCTCCTCATGCTCTCAGTCTCAAACCCACGCATGTCGCTTAGCCAAGTATTCGCGTCAATTCGAATGCCAAACCATGATGCTGCGTCCCTCATCCCTACGAGTAGAGGCGGGCCGAGATGTTCAACCCCTCTCCTGGGATGCTGCCGACCTGGGCTGCAACCAACGTGGAAAATCGAGGTTCGCTTTGTAGGAGTGTTTTGGGCTTTGCAGGCGTTGGGAATCGAGCATGCCTCAACCACAAGACATCATGCTGAGCCCTAGAGAGTGGGGAAGTCAAGACTGCCCGCCCTAAACAAACCCCAAGCTCCCGGTGTGCTCAAACCACCTCAAACACCGAAGCCCCTGCCGGCAGCAAATACCTGATACAGTCCCTATATACCTAAGTAGCCCCTTAACAACCTCCGAATAACCCTTAAGGCGTAAGGTCCCTTTTCAGGGTCCCTCCTTTCAAATCCCCGCAAGCCTTGTGGACACCTTGTGGACAGCAAGGCGCTGGACCATGCGCCTGGACCGTGAGGAGGACGACTTGGGGGTGGTCTCGTCCTTGCTCTCGGCCGTGTCACTTCCTCAGCTTACTTCTGCTATCATAAGCCCATGTTGGGCACCTAGGGACGTGTACTTAAAGTACCTACAGACGATTGGACCGAGCATCGTGACAAGGGCTAGGGTTGCGATGAACTCCCCTCCACTGCATGCCTCTGCGTCTTATGAGTATGTTCTTCCACGCCATCTTTTTTTGGGCTTCTGCGCAGGATGGTTAGCTGGTTGGCTCGAGGAATGGAAGCTTCGTTCGGTTCTGAGAGGAAGGGCCGGGGAAGGAGACCTGTGTGCGACCGCAGGAGTTCTCCGGGTAAAGGACCCTCGCGCCCCAGAAGACGAGCCCCTCGACCTCTGTGGAGAAGCGCACGGCGAGTGCGTCTGCCCATACGGCAAAAATGGGCGGCAGGCGCGTGCGGACGCGTAGAGAACATACGAGTCAAACACGGACCAACCAGCTTGCAATCAAACTCTCATCAAAACGGGCCTCTCCAAGACTCCGACCCGAATCCAAACACCTGGACAGCCAAACATCCTAGAAACGTGCGGAAAACTTCAAAAAACGGCCCCGGCACGTTCCACCCGAGCGCGGCCGCGGCGGCTTTTGGCAGGCTCGGCCTTCACCCTGGGCTGCACCATGGGTGCTTCCCGGATTCTGTGGGCGAGCTTTGGATGTTTGGGTTCGTGGGCTTTGGGTTGTATTGGCCGTACTGTTAGGGCTATAAGTTATAGGACAAGGGTTTGGGGGGGTTTGGTGCTTGGGGTTTAGGTCATCTGGGTGTTGTTGCGTTTGGGATTGCTCGGGGCATTAAGACTGGCCTTGTGGACGACGGTTCATTCAAGGCCATGCCGTTCGTATGCGGCATATTATGTGAACAGCAGCGCCCGACCACCTTCAAGCTCTGGGTGGCTATTTGTGATTCATGTCAAAGGCCATGGGCCAGGCTTGACGGGCACAGCACCGAACTCCAAAATCTTGGATTGATGGATCTCTGGCAAGGCAAGTTGCTCTTGCGAGTCCGCGACGGCCTCCTCTGGAATCAAAACCTTGCATGGCGGGGCGGTGCAATGGAGCACAGCTACCTCACCATGTCCATGAACCGTGCTACTGCAAGTTACCTGACCTACTGCTGCGTAACATGTGTAACACCACCGACCCAGCACACAAAATGAAAGCCAAACAGCCTTGGCGCGCATGAACAGCCCGTGGTGTTGAGGGCACTTGAAGTACTGCTTGTCTTTCACCTTAGGAGCAGAACATGCTTGGCTCAGGGCGCGCAGCCAGAATACTGTAGCAGGCGACGGGAGCGCGACACAAACATGCCCCGTTTATTTTTTCCACAGCCAAGTACCCAATCAAAACACAAGGACAATTCACAATACCAGAGCTCTTAAATGCTGGCATGGGGCTCGCCCGTCGTTCTTGCCACGCGGCTTGTCCAGCTCGATTCCTTGCATTGCCATGCGGCAGCAACGATGTAGATGTGTAGCAGGTCCCTTGAAAGGGGACCCCTCCGATACGCGTATTTCCCTTTAAAGAAGGTAAGGGACCATGTAACTACCCTTACACTTCAGGGCCCGACTCTATTTATGCTTATACGCACTGGCCAGCTGGAAAAAATGATTCCTTGCCTTGCATTTGGACTCTGCACACTAGCCAGATCCGGGTTGCTCCGTAACGCTGAGCTGCTGTCAGCCAATGACCAATGACCAATGACCAACACACCGTAAACAAGCGACGGGACAACTTCTGACAGAATCATAACACCGCGCTTGGAGGAAGAACGATGAATCTGGAGAAGAGCAGGCCCGCAAGCAATAGCGGAAGTGTGCTGCTATCTTGCCGGCAGGGTTCCGACCCAATCGTTGCCGTCAGAGAATTCCGTGGAACCTGCAAACTTCACGACGCCCGCCAAGCCATAGTCACTGCAGTACACGACCCGCTGGCCAACCTCACAATAGTTTTGTTTAAGAGACTTTGGCGCACGTGCCTTCTCAGCCCCAAGCATCACAAGCGATTCTTACTGACACAAAGTCGACGAAACGTCCCCCGGCCTCTGGAACCCCTTCGTCCAACCAGGGGCTGACACACCTGGGCGGAAGAACAAGGCTACCCAGCTTCTTGACATGCAGAGGCTTCACCACGCAATCAAAAAGGAAACCTCAATCCCGGAACTCAACTCGGGGAGGAAACAAAAACACCAGCAGTCAAGGCTAGAGGACAGACATTCCAGATGGCTGCATGAGAGCATGGTCTGGGCGCGGGGCTCTGCGACGGGAACTGCTGGCGGCTTGGCCATGCATGCCATGCAACCGAAACGCCCCCCCAAAAAATGAGAACATGTTTGGCGGACAATTCTTATAATTCTTTCGTTATGATTGTCTGTCGAAAGCAGCTCACGTCTCTACCATAGCCTACGTTTTACCGAAACGGCTTCCTTGAATGAAGACTGATGCTGCGAGGGAGCCATGTGGAACAGGAGGGAGCTTGCAGTTTTCCTTTGAATGTCGCGTTTGTCTGGCAGCGGGCGCACCATGTTTGATCCGCCGGCAGCAGAGTCGAAACTGGAAGGCTTTCGTCCACGCCTCCAAGGATGGAAGCAATCGGAAGCATCGAATCGGAGATCGGCAAGGTCCCTGCATTGCGCCGTCTGTGCTCAACGGTTCCCCGCAGAGGCCGAAAGCTGTGCAAAATAATCTTTACATGTGATGCCAAAAAGCGATGACTCCACAGGAAACTGTACAGGAGTCGCAAAGCTGATGGCAGGAAGTGCGTTTTGCTTCCAAGTACCTCTGCGTTGCTGAGGTATAGTGATTGAACGTGTCCTACAGCTGCTCAGCACGCGAAAAGAGCAAAAGAGAGCAATACAAGTAGCCAGCATCCGAATGCCTAGCGTTTCAGTAGAGGGGACGATGCACTTGTGAAAAGTGCCCGCCAGAAATCCTCACTTCATTTCAAGGCAATCAGGCGCGGCTAAATGACAGACTCCCTGTTTCTCTTGTTTTAGCCGCTTGGACCCTGACATCATCCCATGCCGTAACTCATAGAGTCTTAGAATCTACCTTAGCCTTTCATCCCCCAACGCTCATAACCGTGCTGTACTTCAGCAGCCTTGAGAGCTGAGGCGTGTTGTCCACTTGTTATACCTACTGCTTGCAAAGACCCACTGCTTCAAGTGGATCCTTGAAGAAGCTGCGCATTCTGCGCCCAGCCCTGAGGATGCTAGCGATCCTCTCAAGAATCACGATCACCTTGCTGTTGTAGTGCCCGCTGAAGTCGACCACGGTCGTGATCGTGGCAAACCAAGCAATGACGCCCGCCGCATCGAGCAAAGCATGACGGTTCGCCGCGGACACCAAGGCGTCGCGCGCGCCCTGGGCTTCCTCGGCGTTCCTTACGGCGCAGAGCGTGTTTTTTTGACGTGCCTTGCATAGTCAGAAGCGGGCTGCAATGCAGCCTACGTTTGGTGCGAGGCTTATGGGAAAGGATCCAAGTGCAAAAGCAGCTTGTGGCAACGAGAGTACCTCCTTGACAACGGGTATGGTATATTATTCATATTCATACGTTACGGGTCTTTTGGGGGATGCGTTCTGATGTGTTCTTCCGAACACGCTGAAATACCCTTTTTGTCACTTTTGTCACTGCTCCATCGTGCCATGTCCATCATTACAGACCAGCACCCCTTTGGCCGCCACGGGAGCGAACACTTTGCAAAGCTTGGTAGTTCATCATGCCACTGGTTGGCCTGGCAGACTCGGCAACACCGTAAGCAGATTCCGAACCCAACCCCTTTAACCAACCTCCCCAAACTGAATCCCACTCAGGAAGCCCTCCGACCTGACAATATGCTGCTTCCAAATTGGCTCCAGCCGACCATGCTTCGAAATCCTGCTAAGCCAGCGCTCCCGCAACCACAAACCAGATAGGTTGGATGCATGTGACTGTATAAGTATTGTATATGCACACCTGTACACCCTGAATGCAAGACCCGGGCAAATGAGCCGAGGATCTCTGGCTTCGCAGCGACAGCAGCAGCCAGCGCCGCAATTTCAGTGTGAAGGGGCAAGGGCTCCCCCTGGACAGCATCTTGCGCGACTTTCAGCGCGCTTGCATGAGACTCCTGTCAGTAGCCGCAAGACTTGGTCCTGGTGTAGACCGCCGCAGCAATTTCAAGCTGGCCGCGCGTCAAGTGCCGATCCTCCCCGGGCACGTTGAAGAAGCGTGCTGCATCTTCGACTGGGAAGTACATGACATTGGCAAAGCGGAGGAAATCCATGCAAGTCAAAGGCGATGCGGAGGCTTTTGACGTGGGAGCTGCATCGTCTGCTGTCGCAAACATCCACGTCGTCTTGTCGAAATCGGCACGTGCTGCAACATCTTCGCGAAGTTGTGATGCATTCAAGTACGGACCCCATGCTATGGCCATGTTTGTGTTCAAAGGGCCGCTTGCATACTGCATCACGCTCTTGAACTGAGCTGGCTGGCAGACACTGGGCTTCTCTGGGAATTCGGGGCACGGCAACCCTGAGGCTGCGAAGAAGGCTCTCACGCCGGAGCAGAGCGCTGCAACGGTGGCCAGCTCTATGGCCATGGCTTTGTACTCATCTGGTCCATACTCGTCACCGGCAGCTTTGCTTTTGGTGTGATACTCCTCCATTCGCTCCACGACGCTGTCAAAAAAGTCCTTGTCTAGCATCTGCTGGTGGTTCACGATTGCATGTGCGATGTCTCTGAAGGGACCATTTGTGACATAGACGTGATCGATCCCATCGCGATTGTACTGGGCAAACGGGACTCCTTCTGTGACACCCCGCTGCTTTGCAGCCAGACAACCTTTGCAGTCCCCCCAAGCTGCAAAAGCCTCCGCCGCAAACTCCGCGCGCTCGTCAGACGAGAAGAAGTCACCGGGGCCCACCAAGTGCTCCAGAATCACTCTGATCACGTCGAGCTCATTCTTCAACCTGATGGCCTCCCTTTCTGTGGAAGTGGGCCTGGCTTCCTCATAGTAGCCTTGGGCAAACTGATGTCCAAAGGAAGCCCAAACTCGAAGTTTTTGCTGGGTTCTACAGTTTGCTGTGCTTATCATTCCAGTTTGCAATTAGAACCACGCGGACTCGAAAATCTTCTACCAAGCCCCAAGCAGCCGGTGAAGAAGTTGCTGATGACATCGCCGGCGAGTTGCATCACGGCACGGCCTCTCGTCCCCGCAGCCATGACCTTCAGAACCTGCAAACACAACCCCACATAACTGCACGCCTGTACCCAAAAAAATCCGAACCGCATTCATGAGGTGAGCGAACCCTCGTCGGCATCCCGAATCCGGCAGCATATTGACACGGCCCCAATGCATGTCGTCGACTGCTAAGGCTGGGGCTGTGGGGCGCTGCGGCCAGGCTTGCGAATCTCAGCAGTCGACTGGGCTTGAGAGGACAAAGCATGCCAAGCACGTGGGAAGCATGGGGAATTTTTGTTTGCCTTCGCACTTGAAGCGGTGCCTGGTCGCTTGCGGAACACGGGGCAGGATGCCAGCGTGCTATGAGAAGGGTAAACATATTGATGGATAACGAAGCTGCGTCGCTGTACATTGTCAATGTTTCCTCAATCCTTGACGTGGTCCCAGTCCAAAACGCCCGAAGCTCAGGCGGCGAAAGCCCAAGGCAAACGCAGGTGGGTGTGAATCTCAAGGCAATTAGCTGGCAAGGGCGGTTCAACCGAATCCGCAAATACATCGCTCAGGGGGTTGCCTCTCCATCAACGTTGGCAGTGCCAGAAAGTGGCAAGGAAAGTAGGCTGGCTGTAACAGATCGGGCTGCAGCAACGGGAAGCGATGCGGACCAACGCATGGTAAACGAAAACGCAACCGCTGGCCGCGTCACGGACCTCTTTCTCCCTCCGCACTACGGCGGGGACGTACCCTGAGCTTGCACAAGGCAATCGGTGTCGGCTAGTTGTTCTAGGCATTGAGGTCGTTTACTTGGATGTGCGGTCTTTCAGGCCCCTTGCCCGTTGAAAATCCGCAAGAGAATGTGCCCGTGCATGTTGGGCGCCCCCCCCAAACTTTGGATCAACACGGTGTCAATGTGACCACTTACTTTTCCGGATTGCCCCCGCTCGTCAATGATGAGTCGACAAACTCATTCCTATACTGCCCGTTGCTTCTGCATGCGGGGCAGCTTTTACAGCCTGAAGCTGCAAAGGCTTGGGCCGGGGCGATCCCTTGGTTTGCAGATGCGTGTCGCCACCTCGCTGCGCACACTGTCAGCTTGAGCTTCCTCAATCGCGCATATGCCGAGTTGTTGCAGATTTCTTGTCAGCAGGACGTGTCGATGGTGCAGCACTTCAACCAAACCGGTGATGCTGCCGCAGCACAATATTTGAGTGAAGCTAGTGCTGCTCAGCCAGATTTGGATGCCACACTGGGGCTCATCCTTCCGGGCGTCGTTGACCGTCATGGCCACATCCCGAATCAGCTGCAAGACTTCTTGTTGCAAGTTTTTGGTGGTTACCGCTTGGCTTCAGCGTTGGATTCTGCGGCCACTCACTTTCGAAACCATGGTGGTTGGCCACCATCCTTGCCTGCATATGGTGATGCAGATGTGCCTGCTCATGCACCTCGCGTTATGCCGTCAGGTCCCAATAACGCGTTCCTTCCCGTCAGTCCCCTCCGCCTGACTTACGAGTCGGGTGCGCCTGCACAGCCTCTTGGAACCGGCCCCGCACGTTTGTCGCGCACGTCGTCCGAGCCGCCACCATTTGCACGCGGTGCTCCTGAGGACGAGAACTCTGTTGGGGGTTTGCTTAACGTCCCGGAGCTACATGAACATGCTTGTTCGCGTCATACCGCTTCCCGATTTGGAGCTCAGCGGCGATGTTGTGTATGCAACAATAGAGTTGCACGTGGAACCGAATACATTCGTTGTCCTCGGGGTTGTCGCTTTGTCGCGTGTGGTCAGTGCGTGTGGCCCGCCGCAGATCAGGTTGCTGTTCAGAATTTTTCGGGGCGGCATGATGCGGGTTGTGGTGCTGGCGACGTGCCGCAAGTAGTGGAACCTGTCGTCCAGAATCGCTCGGAGCCGCGTGCTGCAGGTTCTAGTGTTTGCGATGCTCCAGCGTCCACTGCCGCGGGCGCCGCTCCGCAACTCACCCATTTCACACGGTTTTTGTGCCTTCCGCGAGATGAATATGTTCAGCGTGTACAAAGCATGATTGACGCACATGCTTTTGATGACATCGGCCAGCCAAACTTGCGTATTGAAGGCCCGACATCATGGGGAGTGTGGCTACGCATTAGTGAACCCAGTCGTTCTGGAGTTCTGTACCATGTAGCTCAAATGAAAGTTTACTTCCATGGGGAGGAACAGGCGACCCGTCAAATGTTGTTGCCTCTCTTCGAGCCTTGGACGTACGTGTCTTTGGATGCTTGTCCTGATCGACGGCCCGGCGCAGAGTTTCATGTGCCGCGTCCGCTTATTTCGGACGGTCCTGTTCCCAGTTCTGTTTCCAATGTCCCTTCCTCAGCTGATTCGGTTCCGTGTTCTGAGGCACATCCTGCAGGCCCGCCAGCTCCGGCTGCGTGTTTGGCAACTCGTGTTGGTGTGCCTGCTGCGCCAACTGTTGCAGTTCCGGGTTGTGATCCACACGCGCCTGCTGAAGCCCTGTGTCCCCCAGGGGTGTCGTCCGGTGATGAAAATGCTACGGCTGCGGCTGGAGTGCCTTCGGCCAACTCTCACTGGGCATTGTTGTCGCAGTTAGTTGGGCAACTGGTGGAGCACCAAGGGCGCATGCAGGAGCTTTTATTGGAAATTCGGGACAGCTTCGTTCCGACGGTTGATCCTGTGAACCATAACCGCAGCCATTGCTCCTTTGCCCAGTGTCCCCAGTTACATACACCCGGGTGTATGTCAAACATGTGCACTCAGCATTGCGTGAGTCAGGAATGCGCTGTTCATCAGTGCAGTGTGCACGGCGACGGTTGTGTGCAGCGCAGCTGCCAAAACTTGATGTCTCCCCGTTGTGTGGCCCGGCGTTGTGCGGATCATTGTGATTCTGGGCATTGTCGTGTGCATAGAGGCTCACATGGCCCGGCAGGACATGCGTGCCAGTCATCGGCCCCTGTTTGTAGACGTTCTGGTTGTGCTAATCTGATTTCAGCTTCCTGTGTGACCGGATACTGTCCAAACCATTGTGTGAGTCGGCGATGTTCTTGTCGCAGTTGCACAGAGCATGTCGCGAGAGACGGTTCGTGGCAGCCGGCTGTGTCCTCCAGACCACGGGCTTGCAGGCATATGAGTTGTACTGCCTTTGTTCTACCTACATGTCGTACAGGTTTTTGCACTGCTCATTGCACCAGTTCGCGTTGTTCTTGTTGCGCACGCCGCTCTCGTGATCCCCCGCCCCCTGCTGCGGGCGCCCGCGTGCCCGTGCCAGGTCGCACGTGTCGAAACATGCAGTGCCGCCGTCTTGTAGACCAACATTGTCAGACGGGTTTCTGCCCGCACCACTGCCGTAGTCGAGCGTGCCCGTGTCATGTGGGTGTCCACGCATGTCATAATACTGACCCTCCCGTTCCACGGCAACCGCGAGATGGAACAGGGGATTTTGCAAGATCTCGTACTTGTAGGAACCGATCTTGTCATAACGTTGTTGATGTTGCGTGCGCTACAGGTTTCTGTCCGGAACATTGCACAAGCCCACGATGCAGCTGTCGCAACGCACGAGCAGCGGCGCCCCACGACTCTGTGCGTTCTGCTCGTTGTCGCCGTAGGGATTGCCACAATCAACCTGCGGCATCGTGTCGTACAGGATATTGCCCTGATCACTGCTTGAACCGGCGATGCTGCGCAGGCGGAGGCTCGGGTCCTCGGTTTCTTCGACATTCTTCCACGGCTGATCCGTTAGGTGAGTTTTTGACTGAAGCGTGCGGGAATCTTCCGCCTGACCACGCCTTGCCCCCCGATTTGCAAGCCTCGGCTCACGCGCTCCGTTCAAGGGTCGCCAACACGGGAAACGTTCGCGGTCCTCGCCGTCATCGCCAACACGGCGGGGACCGAGCCACATAAGCTTGGCTTTACTGAACGCCAATCGCCTTCGGGCGCCCAGTGGTTCAGAGCATGCGGGTTTTCATGGGTTTGTTAGAATCTTGTGTGCTCATGACGTGGATTGCGTGTGCCTACAAGAAACTTGGGCAGTCAACGGGGGCGCCTTGCCAGTCGATCAGCCGTATCAGTATGATGGCCCTTCTGATATTGGTGGCTGTGAGGCAGGCTTTCTTGTTCATCAAGGTTCCACATCGTGGTCACTCAATGTAGACACTTCTTACCATCGCATTCGTTGGCGATGCATTGCGTCATCTCAAAATGCTCCCGCGCATTTGCTGTGTAGTTTTTATGCACCACACGTGGGCGTGCCGCTTCCCACACGCATCGATTTCTGGAGTAGGTTTCGTGCCTCCATTCAGGATGCTTTGCGGCACCACCCTCATGCGAATCTGGTGCTTGCAGGTGATTGCAACGTGTATCTTGCGGAAGTTATGGGCCCCGAGCGTGAAAGGTCTTAATGAACCCCAGCTGCGTGATTTGATACGCGCCCTTTGTCATGATTTTGGTCTTCGCATTGCAAATCCACCACGCGTCTCTACGCATAGGTCCGGCTCGTGCATTGACATTGTTCTTGTTTCACGTCCGCTTGATGTTGTTGACATTGTCGTGCATGATGGGGGCACGTGCGGTTGTCAACGTGACTCGTGTCACCCGATTGTGGGAAGCGATCACAAACTCATCACCTTCAAAATTGCTGTGCCTCCGGAGGCGGATGATGTTGTTCCTAAGCCCTGGCCGCGTGTGCGGAACTGGCACTCAGTCGTCCAAGATTTGCAGCCGCAACTGTTGCAATGGGCATCCAAGCTTTTGAATTTGCGTCAGGGTCAGCCCCTCCCCCTTCCTGAAAGGCGTGGCGTGCTGGACCTGCTGTATGCCGAATTTGTCGCTATAGTTTGGCAAGCCGCAGAGCCCCACGCTTCTAGTCGTTCTGGTGGCAGCCGGCGTCCGCAGCCGGATTGGTGGGATGACGCTTGCTACGAACTCCTTGTCGCTCGCAATGCGGCTTGGCGACAGTGGCGACGTGAGCAAACGTCCAGTGCCCGTGAAACCTTCCGCCAAAAACGACTGGAGTTTCATCATCTGGTTCGTCGCAAGAAATCGTCATTTTGGTCTTCCTGGCTCAGTCGACAAAAAGGTCTGTCACGGTCCAATCCGCAGTTGGCTGCTTTTTTTTTTTTTTTTCCTCGCGCCTTTTTGCAACTGCAGACGACGGTCAGAGGGTCGACCCTACAAGAGGCGCTCGCCCCGGGGCTGCCTAGTGCTGGGGCAGCGGCAGGCGGCTGGGTTGCGGGGGCGCCAGCCAGCGTGCGTCGGCCAGGACTTCGTGCAGGTCTGGCGTCGTTCCGCCGACGCAGCACTCCCCGGCCAGCGGCAGCTCAAGAAGGGAGCTGGCATACGCGCGCTGCGCCGCCACCGCCAAGAACCCAGCCCAGCGCGCGACCCACGCCGCTTGCGCCGCCGGTCTGAGTGCGGCGGGGACACCGTCGGCCCGGTGCCGGGCCAGAAGGCGGAGGAAGCGGGCGGCCTCGGCACCAAAGCGGCCACCTACCTCGACCCCGACGACCACCAAGCGGCAGCGCCGGGCGCGCGCCAGCTCGGGGTACGTCTGCTGTCGCTTACGGCGCGCCGCGGCGTCGACGGCCTGGCCGGGGCGAACATCAGCGCCCGGCTGCGCCTCCCCCCTGCGGGTGACGGGGCTGACGATGGTGGCGTCAACGGCGAGCTGCGCTCCGTTCCACAGCATGTGCGTACGCAGATGGGCCAGAGTCACGGTGGCTTGCCGCGTTCGATGAGATCGGCGGGCCATCGGTTGGAAGGTGACCAATGTCTCGCCGCATGGCGTGATCACTTTCGCAATGTGCCATCTGTTTGCGATGGCCGGCTCCGGGCTGACGTAGCAACTGATCCTGCTTCGGCTGCAGCATCCTCAGACATCACGTCCCGCGCTGCGGCTCTGAGGCGGGATATGGCCTCTCTGTCCGGCCCTTTGGATTTTCCGCTCAGCGCTGCCGAACTGCAGCATGTTCTATCTCAGCTTCCGTCTCATCGAGCTCCAGGCCCGGATGGATTGCCATATGAGTTTTTTGCTGTCAAGGACGATGTTCTTTCTTCGGCTCTTTTGACGTTTTTTGAATTGGTGCGTCATTGGGCAGTTGTCCCGTTGATTTGGCGTTCAGCCCGTGTGAGCCCGCTGCACAAAGGCGGCCCTGCTGACGATTTCAATAATTATCGTCCCATCAGCCTCCTTTGTTGCAGCCTCAAAATATTCGAGCGTTTGTTGCTGGCGCGGCTGCTTCCCAGGGTCGACCCGCAACTCGATGAGTGTCAAGCCGGGTTTCGCTGGGGGGCCGAGGAGCAAATCTACACCTTGGCCGAGACGCTCAGGCTGCGTGCCAGGAAGCGTACCTTCTGTGCTTTCGTGGATGTACGCAAAGCTTTTGATGTTGCATGGAGGGATGCGGTGTTAGTTAGGCTTGCGGAGACCGGCGTTAGTGGTTCGATGTGGTCGGTAATTGCAGACCTCCATTGTAAAACCACAGCTCGAGTATGCTCGAGTCCGTGTGAATGGTCTGACTTCGCAGCCTTGGACAGAAACGGCCGGCGTGCGTCAAGGGAGCGTCCTAGGTCCGCTGCTTTTCAACATCTTGTTCAATGGTATTGCAGATGCTGTGCGTGCAGTATGTCCGGGCGTTGCGTTGGGCTTGGCCCAAGCGCCCCTCGCGTGACACTTCTTCTGTACGCTGATGATTTGGTAATCTTGGCAGATGATGCAGCGACCTTGCAACGTGCCTTAGATGCTATCGGCAACTGGGGCGCACGGTGGCGTTTCTCTTTTGGGATTGGTCCCGAAAAAACAGCTGTGATGGTTGTTGGGTCCAGGCTGCTGAACTTCCACTTTTCCTTGCAGGGTTGTGCCGTCCTGCGTGCCACACTACACCTACCTGGGTGTTACATTCGCAGCCTCTCGAAAATGGCGTCAACATGAGACTCGGCTCATAGTTAAAGGTACTCGCCGCTTTTACCAGTTTTTGGGTTGGGCCGAGAATCGCCAGCTACACACAGGATTCCGCAATGCTCTATTCCAAACCTATGTTTTGCCTTCCACGCTGTATGGCACACAGTTCCTTGATTCAGCGACGATTGCTCGCTTGGACCAGGTCATCCGTCAGTGGGGGAGACCTTTGCTGCAATGGCCCAGTGATGCACCGGGGGCGGCAGTCCTTGGTGAGCTTGGCTGGGCATCCTTTGTGTTTCAGGTTAAGCGCCTGCAGTTTGGTTTTTTTGGCAGACTCTCTGCCACAAGCACGCGCGACGTCCGCAGAGGCTTGGCAGCACGCGTCTTCAATTTTGCCCTGAGTCGACCAGGCTCTTGGGCAGTACGGGGTGCTTCCGGGATCGGGTCTTCAACGTGTCTGGCAGTGGACTAGGCATCAGGTTGTACAGACCTTGCAGCAACGTGCCCATGCGAGTTACCGCGCAGAATTGCTGGCAGTACCTTCGCTGGCCAATTATGCTGTCTATCAGCCTCGATTGCATTGCCTGGTCAGCATACACTCCTCCAGGCTCCCCATCTCCGCAGTCCGAGAGTGGACCCTGGCCCGGTGTGGCCATCACCCATTTACGGATGGTAGGAGCGCCCGTCATTCGCACAGGACGGACTCTCTGTGCCTTTGTGGTGACCAGTGCAACCTGCTTCATGCACTTCGAGCTTGTCCATTGCTGGCCTCGCAACGGCGTCACTGGCTCACTCGTCTGGGGTTACAGCGCGTTCCTCAGTTTGGAGATGATGAGTTGCTTCGCTGGATCTTTGACCCCAGCTTGGTTCTGAACAGTCGTTCATCTGTCAATGCTCATGTCCACTATGTGGCAGCCATCTGCCAGATTGCTCGCAACATGTTGGCGGGCTTGCAGCTATGAGCGTAGTACTGGATTGTTCGGCGGCCAATGTGCCTGGCCGTTTGTAGTGTATATATGTACTGACCGTCAACGGTTGTTCGAGGACAGACTCTCTCAGGACGCCAGTGGTTGGGAGAGTGCCGGGGGGTCCCTCCGTGTACTCAGAAGGGGGTGGCGCAAATGCTGTTGGCTCGCCCCGCGGGTCAATGTAGGCAGGGGCAGAGCTGAGCTCGCTTGAAGTAAACGGCACATTTTTGGGGAAGAAATTGGACAGGTAAAGAAAATTCCACATAAAGATCTTGCAGGTATCCAGGACAGTCTCTGCAGGCACACTTGCCGCAACGTTATAAATTAGTTGGAATGGGTGCTTTCCTACCGCTGCAGGACAGGAAGCAGTCTCGAGAGTCTAAAATTTTATGGAAACCAAAGCCGCAGAACCAGCTGCGGAATCCTGAGTTTGTCTTTTTTGCAGGATCCTTACGTCGGTTTGCGTTTTCCTTCAGCGCTCCCTTGGTTTTTGGCACCCACATAACGATCCTACAAAATTTTGTTCGCTTGTGTTTTAATTACCACAAAGATCCTACGATTTTTTTCCCGCCAAGAATCCCCTGCCTAGTGGTGATGTAATTAAGGCACGTCATGATACCGCTAAAATGAGCGCTACACACTAACAAAAGAGATGAAATAGCTAGAATAGCTCCTTCCTGGAAAGCCTGGATCATGGTGGGCGCGGATCCCCGGCCTATGGGATCTTATGTTTCTGTGGCCTGTTGGTCCCCGATTTTTGGCCATCAATGGACTTCAAGAACCTCGGCTAATGAAGAATGCGTACAGCCCAAGAGCAAGTTAACGGTGCCATATGTGCAGGAGATGCCCGCCCAGGAGTCATGCTCGGAAACAATCACGTTTCGTCAGCGCATTGCGGTGCCAACGCTGCTTCAGACCCTCGCCTTTTCCTCGCACGAGTTTGCCGGCTTCAGAATTTTGGGAGATGGGAAGCAAAAAGGTCAAAAGGACTGAGGAAGCCGGTGCGGCGGCCTCAGGAAAAAAGCAAGGGCGCGGGGAGGTCGTGTTGCAGCCTTAGAGTTTTCAGCGAAGCGGAAAGCAAACAGCCGGCGAAGGGCGTGCTGCAACCCCGTACCGCGGCCGCATATCTTGGTGGGCAGGGGGAGAGCTGTAAAATTTTTGGGGGTGGAGCCGCAGAATTGCAAGAGGCCGTGGCCGCTGCTTGCTGGTCGCCCGAACTTGCGTCTCTTTCGATGCGCACCAGCGTCATGCCACCATGAGTTGTGCTTGAGTTTTTCTTACGCGCCTCTTTTCCGCCTGCTAGGTCGCTGTCCCGCTGCGCTCTACTCCGCCGCCAGGGGCAGCTTTACGACCTGCATCGACACACGCCAGCACGTTGCTGGCGACGGCATGCTGCACGGCCACCGCTAGTATGCCCCACCAACGCCGGGACCAGCCCGCAGCGGCGCGTGGCGAAGAGCGGGCAGCACTTTCTGCGACCGTGAGACCAGAAGCTCCTGAGGTCCCGCGCTGCAAAACACTGCGTAGGTGGACCGCTTGCGGCGCTTGGCCACTCGGAGAGCGGCGCCGTCGGCGCCCGGTTGTGGATGCACTGTCCGCGCGAGCGGGGACTCTTGGGGGATGACTTGCCAGGCCAACAACGATGTGCGGGGGCAGGCCAGGGCGTGGTCCTCACACTCGTCGACCTGTTGGCCTTAACCAGGGCGTGGGCAAGCGCCGCAACGCGAGCGGCATGGCTTGCGGGGCGAGAGTAACTGCAACTTCGCTTGTCACTGCCGCGAGCCAGGCACCTGCGTGCCGCCCGCCTTGCGAGCATAGCAGCTTGGGATGCAAGCAGCAAAGCCGGCAGCAGCACGCGATCACGATAGTACAGGTTTCGAGTCCGCGTGCCAGTCCACTGGGCATGCTTCCCAGACCTCGGCTTGCAACAAGTTAGCAAAGGATTGTGCCCTCCGCGCCCTGCGCCAAAGCCGCCAAGCAGCGGTGCGCCGCACCGGGCAAGCGGGAACGGATGAGAGGAAGCGCGTCCATCCACGCTTCGCAGTATGCCGCTGGGGCCGTCCGCTCCGCTAACTGCAAGCACAGCCCGCCGTTAACAGCCGGCAGCGATGCAAGTGGCCAGGCTTGCAACGCCTCGGCCAGAGGCACGCCCCCTGGTGGTGCGCCCGCGCGTGGTATGCCGATTCAGAAGGCGGCAGCGTTCAAGCGCACTCGGGGAGTTGAGGAAGCTCGTCCAGCAGGCGGTGTTCCGTCAGCCCATGCTTGGACGAAATTGGCCACGGACACCTTGGAGAATAGGTTCACCGAGCAGCCGAATGCGATGGAATTTTCCCTTCTCTGCAAGTCGGTTGTTTCAACACCCTGGATTTTGCTTGCAACTGGACGCAGCATGGCAGCCGGAAGCACGATGGAGTGATGTAGGGTTGGTCGAGAAAGTGTCGACACGACGTCAGTGTGTGTTCATGACTTGGAGGAGAAAATCATTTTAAAAAACAACCTATGTTGCCCCCAACTGGATGGGAGAAGCACAAAAAACAACCGGCGAGTTTGCAGCAGCAGCTGGATGAAGCGAAACTTGCGCGGGCAACACAAGTTTTTTCAAGCGCCAGTTCATGCACCTTCTCCGGAAGCCGTAGCAAATGGACCGTCGCAAGCTTGGATTGCCAACTGCCGCGAGAAATTAATCCCGCAATATATGTCGTTTCAGGTGCACACCTTGGATGCTTCGGAGGGTCGGCATGAAACTATCTGAAATTTGCAACATGGACACGACATGTCTGGACAGTGCTGGCACAGTGTTACACTTCCGGTGAGGCAGAAGTACAACGCGTGCGCGCGTTCCAACACTTCTCCTGCGCCGTCGCAAACAACAAGTGGGAGGGGAACCAAATCCAAATATCGTGATGCTTGCTTGATTATGATGTTTCTCGCATGGGCACACATGTCGTGCGCGCGCCTAGCAACGGGCGCCTCGCTACGCTGCTGCCCTCAGGCGGGGAAGGCTTGGAGGCTTGGGCCAGCAGGGGCCGCAAGCTCCAGCACCCGCTGAAAAAACTGTGTACAGAATTCCATACAAAATGCTGCAGCGGAGATTTCTGAGGATTGGCGTAGCCTGGGGGTATCAAAACCATTGCGTTGCCTATATCACCATTGAAGCCCGGTGGGAAGGAACAGCAGGCGTCGCTCGCGAAGCTCGTCCGCTCGTTAGATGCAACACATGCAAACAAGAGGCTGTGGCACACACAACGAAGGCGTGAAACCCCGAACGTGGTTTGGCTGTAAGCGGCACACCGGAGTATGTCCGCAGCCGCAGACGCAGCCAGAGACATCGCGCTGCACCCTGCCAGCCTCGAACCTGTGGGTCTCTCGCAGGCCATGCGCATCGGACCGGCTAAATCGGCTTGCCTGCGTTGTTGGGAACAAACGGTCGCACCGTGCTCTGCGAAAGCTGGCGAGAGGCTCCTGCTTGACCGAAAAGCAAACGCCAGCCACACGGGCGTCTTCAGCAACTACCGGATTGGCCTCCTCACCAGACTCGCCAAGCTAGGCCCTGAGGGACATGTGGTCCCCCAACAGTGGCTCGTCCGCACCACAGGTAGCGCCCAAGGACCGCATGCGAGTTGACCTCATCATTGACGGGGCCGTGCTACTGGGCGGCGCAATAGACTTGGTATGGGTCCGTTCTGCGAGGTGTGAACGCTTTCCGTGCAAACTGAACCCCGAGCCCCTACACAGGTGGCTTGGACCGTCATTGGCGGAATTTTCCGTCGCCCAGTCGGCCACTCGGCGCTTGGGCACTTGCGCCATGCCAGAACCAGCGCATACCGTTGCATTGGCGTTGGATGATTGTGGACTTTCCGAGGGACTGACCTGCTTACCATTGCTCATCCGGGACTGAGCCGGCTGACAACACGTGACTGGGAAATGCTCCCTCAATTTTGGAAGCATTCCCAAGTCGGCTAGACGTGCGTGCGTCAGTGGTCGGTGCCAGTGCATGCGTTGCATCCCCGCTTGTTGGAGTGGTCAGCCAAAACATCGTGGATACTTGAGATATTGTACTTTAAGTTTGTGCACATGTTTTGGGAAGCAGCCAACCCGCGTGATTCCTCCAAAAGCAAGCTTTTCGGCGTTGGCCCCAGTCGGCGTTGGCCCCAGCATCCCCACTGGTGGGATGACGATGTTCTGACGCCATGGTTGGCAGGAATGCACAGTTTGGCGGCGTTGCTGTCGCGAGGAAACTTCTGAGTCACGTCACGTTTTGGGCCTAGGCGGCTTCAGTTTCAAGCTTTGGTCCATCGGGAGAAGCAGCATTTTCGAATGGCGGCTTGCGCTGCAAGAACTTCTTTCGGTGGCGCACCGTGCTGCTCAAAACATTCGCCGGCAGTTTCGCCCCTTTCCTCGCCCATTGCCTCTCTTTTATATCCATGTTTCTAAACTGCACTGTGTTAGAGTGTAGTCTCTGGCTGTTTCGTTCATGGGGTAAGTCCTTCTTCCCGGTTTCGGCCGTAACTCGCTGCAGGACGCGGCCTAGGAGGCCCAGGGCTGGCTTTTAGAAGGCCCAAAAGTGCGCGTAAAGTCCATGCAAAATCTTTTGGGCCATAGTGCGGCCTGGCGGGGTAAAGGTTTGAAGGTTCAACAACCACTGCGGCTTTGGGCGGGTCGTCCTCATAAAATTCGACTCGGCAAGCGCCATAGCCGTCAAATGAGTGCTAGACTCGAGGCAAGGACTTCAAGTTCACAAAGACTCTACAAAGACCCAACAAGACTCCGCAAAGACTCGAAAGATTCCAGAAAGATTCCAAGAGACTAGCCGAAATTTCATCGATGCTTGCAGACTCGAGCCGGAATTGCAACGCACTGATGAGTGCTGCAGACTCGAACCGAAAGAGCTATGTTCCGACGATGAGTGCTGCGTTGTCGTGTCAGTGTGATGGTCCAGTCAACTGTGTTGCAATCCAAATCCTGCTTGCAGCAACCTGTACGCAAAAACTTCACGCATGCGAACTTTCAAACACAACTCTGAGCCTCAAACCCACATCCGAGGAACCCCGTTCCATCCACGACCCTGGGTGCTCCCACCTCAAGATACGGGTCTTAAGAATGCGAAGTTGCACTGAAGTTGTGCAGCTCTGTGGCTCCGTGTTCACACCGTGACCTTCTAGTTCTCGCCTTGCACAATCTCCCCCGCAACGATTCAGGACGCTTTTTACAAAAAACAAGCCGCTGATCCCAGCAGCGGTAAGTCGCGGTCTGTAAGCTTTCACAGTCCACTGGTCTCCAACCCATGACTAGCGGGGCGGTGTCTACACAGCGATCAGGGGAAGATCGGCTCCCTTGCTGCTAGGCCCAGCTGGTGCACGCGAGAAGCATCCCGTGGCGCCACGACGAGCATCGGCATTCTTCAGCCAGCAGAAATTGTCAGAATCACGGAAAATGAAAGTCCGACACTCCGGGTTTGCCTGGCAGTGGAAGCAACACTCCTCGTAGCCGGATACAAGGAACATTAGCTGGTTGCCACAATCATCCCACCCATGAGTCACGTGCATGGAAGTCCACGGCTCCCTTGCCGCTAGGCAAACCTGGAATATCACCACTCTGAAAGACAGGGTCGCCCCAGGCGCCACTAGGAGAATCGGCATCCTTAACTTTCAGAAGCGCGGAAACTGAAAGTCCGACATTCCGGGTTTGCCTAGCAGCACAAAGACATCAGTGGCCTGGTCTGGCCACCTGCAATCAATTCTCTACTCCCGCTTGGTTGATGCGCTCAGCGTCCAGCCATCAGATCAAAAGACTCAGGCCAAAATCCCCAAATCCCTAAACCAATAAACCCAAACCCCGAAACCCCAATGGCCCCAAATCCAAGAGGTCCGCGCTCTCGCTGAGCACCATGTGTCGAGAGCCTGAGTGCGCTGAACGTCAAGATAAAGATATGCGACATGAAACCATCATTCGTGCTGCTCAAAAGCAGTGGAAAGCAAATCCACCAGTCAAGTCTGTCGCACACTCTGCTCGTCAAGTAACGCAAAATCCGGCCAAGCAAAAAGGATTGAAGTCAGGGAGTCACGCCTTACAGTTGCAAGACGGGACAATTAACCTCGCAGCCTCCAACAACTTAGACAACCCCCCCAAGCAACCTCAACTTCTGATCGCGGTGTTTAGTAGGGAACATAAAATGCACTCAACGGGATGCCAGTGTCAGCAAGCTATCCACTCCCAAAGCCCGCCTGCACATGGGATCTTGGTAAGTGCCCGGCACAACTTCTCACTTCCAGATAGCGTCTTCATCTCGAAAGAACCTCGCGGCGTAACATGTCACTGGACACGATAGTCCTCACCCGCATGCAGCCTCAACTCAGCAAGTGCGCCGGACACAAAGGCACTTTCACGCATGGATCCTGCGCAATTTTGACATCCTTCAGCAGAAACGCACGGCCGGCATACAAGCCAAAGTACTCCTCAAATTGTTCGGCAGAAACAAAAACCAGTCTGTCCTGGGATTCGGGTGAGTTCTCAGCCCTATTCAGAAGCAGCACCAGGATGTCGTTGTTGTCGCAGGCTTTGTGGCGCTCCTCGGTCGCCTTGACGATGCTTGAGCCCATCTTAAACTGCAGGCATTCCGAGATAAGCTGCTCGTTGCCGGCTGTCCGTTCGCCCAGCATGAGAAACGCATCGGCAGCGGGAGCTCCGGCACCGTTTACCACCAGTGTGGTTTTGTCGGCCATCGACACAACAACGTCTTTGCCGGCTAAGGTGACGCGGCATTGGAACTTTTTCAGGCCGTTGGCAAGGTTGGTGTCGCTCGATGTGCTGTTTGGTTTGGGATGGCCGCAACACGATGACTTGGATGACAGCCTGCTTTTCGCTTTTGCAAGTGTCAGGTGCCGGTTGCGGACCTCTTGGTGCTCGAAGCCACGAGGTCGGATGATGGCACCTCTGTGTAATAAGCCAATTTTGACTGCTTGTCCGTCTTCAAAGCTGCAAGAGCGCAACACACGGAAGTCGGCGTTAAACAGCTCCCAGGCTTGCCAAGTTCGCGTTGCTGGCCTCTCAAAGAAGCCGTAGTCCAGGAGTTTCCATGGGTCCAAGTCTGGAGTGAGCCTCTGTTGCGAGAGCATCACCTGCAGCCAGATGTAGGGAATGTCGATGCGATACTCGTAAAAAAGCTTGTCAAGATACACGACTCGCACCAACTCCGTCTTCGTAGGATCTAGACCGCCAATGGTCTGGTTTTGACCCAACACTTTTCCTGAAAGGGATGCTCGCAGCAAATCCAGCACATCCGAAGCTTTCGCGCCGGCAAAGTTTACAGCATCGGGGTACTTTTCATACAACTTCGAAATGACTGCACCTACAAGAGCACTTGCGCTCATGCTCTGCCAATCATTCAAGGCCTCCTCAAGGCCTTCCAGGGCCCTGCCATGCCCGCCCATGTCCACTGTCAAGAGCTGAATTAAATCATCTGGGGGTAGGACAGTGCGGTTCTTCCTGGTGACTGCCGTCACTCGCGGCAGCTTCAAGTACGTGCGGGCTTGTGAGCTGTCAGCCAGGGACTGAGACACACTCTGCGTCGCTGTTACGCACGCCACAACAAATGGGGGAGTGTCCTGGTTCACGAGGCGGCAGACCTCCCGCATCACTTGGTAGAAAGGCGCCCGCTTGCCTGTTTCCTCGCCACGCTGGGGGAATCCCGGCAGGTTTTGCATGCCATCCACGCCCATCACCACTGTGGCTAAGCTTCTCTGGTCAGGAGGCAAAACCAATCCAAAGACATCTTCTGGAACGAGGTCAGCATCACACCCAGCCCGGAATTTTGCGAAGTTGGTGGGGGCGCCTGCATCGTCGAATGCCTCCTGATTGGCGTCTCGCAGCTGCCAGAGCATGCGGCACGCCACGAAGCGCCGGGCGTTGAGCTCCTCTGTGCCCCAGTCCCCAGGCCCCAGGCCGTTCTCGCAGGTGAGGAGAAAGGCGAGCGGCTCGTCACTGAACCTGCGGTTTTTGAGATCTTTGAGACACTCCGCCACCAGGCCCGGGAACTCTGAGAGCAGTCGGGACTTGCCTTGGCCGGGGCCGGCGAACGCGATAAACAAGGGATGAGCCTGCTTGTCCCCGCCGCGCCCCTTTGCCTCATGCAGCTTCTGAACGGAGGCCCGCATGTCTTTAGCCAGGTCTTCCTTGCCGCAATAGTCCCAATCGAATCCGATTGTGGAAAGTAGCGGGGTGCCGTGCCCGAACGTAAGCTTCTTCTGGAGCAGCCTGCTGCACCAGTCCTGTTCAAGCTGGGGGGCACACAAAGCCTTCTGCAAGTTATCAAACCAAGCAATTAGAACAGCAACCGAAGCCAAAACTGAACTGGACAAAAACCTCGCTGGTCCCCACGACTGCCAGAATAAGACGAAAAAAGGTGACGGTACCACGAAGCAACCACCTGTCGTCAATCCCCGCAGCACAGCAATGGGCCCCCACCGTCGGGCTCGCCGTGCCCGACCCCAACAAGTCACAACAGACGAGGGTGGCCAAGCACGCAAACACCGATATAGTAACCTGAGTCACATGCGCAACGACAAACGTGAGAGCAATGCAGACCCTCACCTCGAGCCTCACTGCCAACACCGACACCCTGTAATCCACAATCTGCAACCAGATTTGCGCGAAACCTAAACCAGCCAAGAGCCCTCTGCTCAGAAAGACCCCCCCCGCTCCCCGAACTGCTGCAAGCCAACACAGTGGAGACAGCTTAACAACAAGGGATCCTTGCTGAAAGGAAGGCAGCACCCCAAAACGCAACAACGGTGGACCGAACGAAAACGCACGACGATCAAGAGCCCCGGACAAGCAGGACTGCTACAAACCAAAGCCAACATGCTCACGCAGAAGCCCCCGGGCTGCACTAGTCTTGCCGGAACCCTACTACTCGGCAAGGTTCGTGTGCCAAAAGCATTAAGCACCCAGGTCCCTTGACTCCCCCTCACGGACTAACCTGAAAGCTGAGCCTCAAACAAAAGCAACCGCAACCTGGAGAGCGCAAAGCCAGCGCAAAACAGGTTCAGCCCCCCACCTTGATCCTAGGACTGACACCCCGTTCTGAAGCATCGGCAAAACACGAAGGGCAACCAGATTTGCATGAACCTGAAGCAGCCAAGAGCCCTCTGCTCGGAAAGCCCCTCCCGCTCCCCGAACTGCTGCAAGCCAACACAGTGAAGCTTAACGACAAGGGGATCCTTGCTGAGAGGAGAGCATGACCCCAAAAAGCAAACGGTTGGACCGCACGAAAACGCACGACGACCACGCGGGAGTGCCGCAAGCAAAGGCAACAGCAACAACTGCACACGCAGCCCACACAGCCCGAAATGCTGCAAACTCAGGGCAGCCAAGAGCCCACTGCTCCGAAAGCCCCTCCTGCTCCCGGAAGTGTTCAAAACAAGCCCGTGAGACAGCTGAACGAGGGGATCCTGCGAGATTCCCGTCTGGAGGAGAGAGAGCATGACCCCCAACAACCCAAAAAAACCCGGCCTTGGCTGTCGCCTTTGACACGGCAGCGATGCGATTTTCCAGGACTTTGCGCGGCCCCACGGGAATCTTCATGTCTTTCATGTCGTCCGAAGTCAACAGCAACAGCGCGCGGCCTTTGACACTTTCGACCTTCAGAGTATTTGTAATCTCCTGCACAACCTCCTCGTCTTCGTCGTTGTCGTAGCTCGCCTCTTCCAAGACCGCTCTGATCCAATAACCGACCTGTCCATCCACACTGACTCGAAGCGGTTTCCCAACAGAGACATCACAAGCTGCACCTCCTCAGCTCCAAACCACCGGATCTCTTCAGCTGTCTTGTCTAGCCAGTCGGCCTGCAGCAAGGGGCACAGCCTCAATCATGTGTCGACGAGCCTCACGGAGCCCGCCTGATCGAAGCTTCCTTTGGCCTGCAGGGGCCACGCAGAATTGTGAAGCCCTCACCAGCAAGAACAGGCTCCCTGGAAGTGCCTGCCTCTTCCACCTCATCCTGATCCTTTTCTGAGGTGGCCTCCCAACATGGACTGATCCTACATATGCTGCTGGCAGGACAGTTTCATGCAACCCTCGCAATCAATCCCTCAAGCTCCTGGAAATTCGTCTGATGCTCCCGCCGAGCAGCTTTCGATGCCAAATCCGAACACACGCCAAAAGGACAAGCAAACCTCGCCTTATGTTCGTCTTCACGAGGTTGCAGAGGCCCCTGCTCAGAACATGAACACACTCGGGCAGGAGCGAAGGAAACGCCGTCAGAACAGCACAAGGAACGCAACGCCGAAACGACAAACCCTTTTCGCCTTGACGTCTTCACTGTCTTCGGCCTCACCACGGCCAGCCTCAGCTCTTCAGGACATACGCTTAACACTGAATTTCCTCTCGGTCTCGGCTTCCCGCCTTGGCCCTGCGTGCGACCAGCAAGTTCTGTGCCCATTTTCCCGGAGGAACCGACCTCGCTCTGGTTTGCGGATCTTCGGCGTTCCATGCCATACATCACATCCCACCTTGGAAACTGCACGGCCCCCGCTCCAAGCAAAGCCCGCGCCGTCTGCGTTGCTCGCCTGAAGCTGCTCGGGAACACTTGTAACACTGTTCAAAGCGCTGGTCTTAGGCTCTGGCAGACACACCAAGAAGAGCGCCAGTAGCACCAGCGCGCGCCCGACCTTGCGCCATGTTGCTGGAGGCCTGCTCATGGCGGCAATGGTCTTAGCCTAGCTGTCCTCTTGCTCGAGCAAAGGCGCTGCAATCTGCATGAACGAATGGTCGAGCTCTACCTGTTTCAGATTGACTGCTGGTTCATCCCTCCAGCTTGCTGTTGGGCTTGGGATTTACTGTAGAGCTTCAGCTTCCGGGTTGAGGATTTCGGGGTCACGGGAACGGGGTTGAAGGGTCACGGCAAACTCAAGGAAACCCCCAACCGCCCGACAAAAGCCCAAGTGAAACCCCAACCGCCCCGCCAGGACCCCAGGTGAAACCCCAACCGACCCGCCAGGACGCCAGGACCCTATGTGAAACCCCAAACCGCCCTGCCAGGACCTGATGTGAAACCCCAAACCGCCCTGCCAGGAATTCAGGTGAAACCCCAAACCGCCCCGTCAGGACCCCATGTGAACCCGCCACCCGCCCCAGCAGGACCCCATGTGAACCCGCCACCCGCCCCAGCAGGGACCCATGTGAACCCGCCACCCGCCCCAGCAGGGACCTATGTGAACCCCCCACCCGCCCCAGCAGGAACCCATGTGAACCCCCACCCGCCCCGCCAAGGACCCATGTGAACCCCCCACCCTCCCCGGCAGGACCCCATGTGAAACCCCAACCCCGTCTCTGCTGCGCCTCAATTCCAGGCAGGTCTAGACTGGGCCTCAATTCCAGGCAGGTCCAGACTGGGCCTCAATTCCAGGCAGTCCTGAGTTCACATGCCCTCCTGCGCCCCCGCCACCTGAGTTCACATGCCCGCCTCGTGAGTTCACATGCCCTCCTGCGCCCCGCCTCATGAGTTCACATGCCCTCCTGCGCCCCGCCTCATGAGTTCACATGCCCTCCTGCGCCCCCGCCTCATGAGTTCACATGCCCTCCTGCGCCCCCGCCTCATGAGTTCACATGCCCTCCTGCGCCCCCGCCTCATGAGTTCACATGCCCTCCTGCGCCCCGCCTCCTGAGTTCACATGCCCCTCCTGCGCCGCGCCACCTGAGTTCACATGCCCTCCCCACCTGAGTTCACATGCCCTCCTGCGCCTCCTGGGTTTCACATGCCCTCCTGCGCCCAAGCTCCTGGGTTTCACATAGCACTCCGCGACCGCACAACCGCACAAACCACACCTCAAAGCGCTCAGAAACCCTTCACTAACCCCACCTCTGCTCAAAGATGTCGAACGAAAAGACGAACACGACCTGACCACACGAAAGGGCCCGGGGGTCCCGGGGAAGGGTGGGGACGCAGGGCACTTTAGAGTTACAGGAGGGGTCGGGTTCAGCAGCGCAGGGCACTCCTGAGCACACTCGGACTAGACCTCGCAGCCTCAGAATCCCTTGCCTTCCAACCTAAACCCTGAACCTCTGCAGTGCCCGACGAAAAAGAAGAAGGTGATGAGAACCTGGGCTGTGAGAGTGACCACGCAGCCCCTTGCCTACCAACCTAAACCCTAACCCTGAACCTCTGTCTTTGGGGCCGGGCCTCACTACCCTGCGGCGTCCGGCGTCACTACCCTGTGTGTGCTTGTCTGTACTTGCTGCCTTCCTAAGATGTGGTAGCTGCCTGTCTGTTGCCTTCCTTCGAAATGTGCGCTTGAAAGATGTATCGTCGGCCAAGCAAGCCGTGTCAAAGTCATGTTGCTGGCGTCCTTCGAGGAAGCGAGCGCGGCCCAAGCACTCTAAAATCCAACACTAAGAACATGCGAAAATCAAGCAAACATGCAAAAACCACAAAGCTAGAGTTTTTAGGGTTTCGGGCAGGGTTTAAGGGGAATGTTTGTTTAGGCCTGCTCGCCAAAGAGCAGTGACTAAGCCTGCTCGCTCCAGAGCAGTGAAACATGAAAGAAAACTCGTGCACAACGAAAAAACTGCCGTCTTGAGCCAACAACTGTACAACAAGACTCGACCGACGAAGGGGGGCCCGCTCGGGCGACGAGCTTTTTTCCGGCCGGGGTGTTCAAACAAGTCACCATGAGCTGGGCTCAGCAACGACAAGCCATCAAACTAGCAGCCGAGGCCGGGGTCAGGGCGAGGACCTCAGCGGCAGGCTCAGAAACCCTCCCTTTGACACACCACCACCTCCGCTACGCGATGCTCAGCCGCCCGAACGGCGAGCTCACCAGGGCCGGCCAGTACTACTATCAGCTGATCGGCCGGCCGCCCCCCAGCCGGCAGTACGACCGCACCCAGCCCTTGATCCGCGAGGGGCCCTCGGACTACATCCTCCTGCGGGGCGGCGTGAAAAAGCTCGTCCGGAGCCTCCAGCCGGACGGGAACTACCACCTCACGAAGCTCGGGAAGAGCTTCTTCAAGGACAAGTGGACGGACTGGCTGGCCCACGTGCCGGTCATCATCCGCGGCGTCCGGCGCAGGGGCCGGAACGCCGGCAACGGCTACGAGCGGACCAAGTACCTCCCGGTCACTACGCTGAACGCCACGCTGTCCCGGCAGAGCGACGGCCTCTCGGAGTTCCAGGTGCGCAGGAACGTGAAGGCGGCCGTGCTCGCGCAGCTCGGCAACCCCCAGCCGAACGACATCATCATGGAGCTCTCGGACGAGACCCACTACCTGGACCCCGCGAGGGAGTCCATTCAGCTCCCAGGTGATGCAGGTCGTCAACGACCAAGTGGAGGTGGAGGCCATCCTGGAGCAGCCTGTGGGGGGCCTGCGGGACGTCTCCTATCAGCTGTACTGCGGCGACGACATCCTGGAGTCCGCCTTCGAGCAGCGGCAGGACAAGCTCTGCGTGGCCAGGCAGCTCGCGGAGCTGATGCCTGCCGCTGCAGGAGGTGCTGTCGGACTTCGACGCGATCTGCCCGAACAGCAAGTAGCGGGAGCAGGGCGTCAGCCCCAAGGAGATCCGAGATTTCTGCGTGTGGCGCGGGGCCCCGATGTTCTACGTGGACTGCCAGGGCCGCCTGCTAGACAAGTGGGAGCCGGCGGTCAAGGAGCAGCGGGCCGTGGCCTTCACCGGCTGGAACGGCCACGCCTTCTTCTACAAGTCCGCCCGCACCGTCGCGAAGCGCGAGCCGACTGGGGAGCAGGCCAGGTACCGGGGCGACAGGAAGCCGAGCGAAGCCCCCGAGTTCAAGGAGTGGCGGGAGTGGGAGGGTGAGGTCGCGAGCGGCCACTTCTACTCCGAGGACCTGGCGCGGGTCCGGGGCGAGCTGCTGGCCGAGGGCCACTGCCCGAAGGTGGTCATGCGCAGCCTCTCGGAGTGGCGCTGCCTGCGCCTCCGCGTCCGCGGCGGCGGGGACTGCGTGATCTCCAATCTCGACGAGGACGCGGAGGTGCTGGAGGCCTGGATGGGGCGGCTGAGGCTCCCCTACCGGGGCCAGCGCCTCGCGGGCGCGGCGAGCGAGGTCTTCCTCCACCTCCTCAAGGCGCGGCGGGATCCGCCCATCAAGGCCGTCCTCGCCGAACAGGACCACCTGTGGAAGCTCTGCGCGGCCCCCATCGACAGGACGACCTGCGAGCTGGACCACGTCATTCCGCTCAGGCCCAAACCCTCTGCCTGGAGTGTCACCGGAACAAAACAGCCCTGGAGTTCTCCCACCCCACGACGCGCGAGTCCCGCTTCAGCCGGCGGGCCTACAAAGCCTACGTGGAGTCGATCTGGCTCCCCCCGCTCGTCTTCCACCTCAACAGCCACAAACCGGACCGGATCTGCCACGGGGTCGACGTGGTTCGGTGCCGCAAGAACACCCTGGCCAACGCCAAGTTTGCGGCGCCGGCCTTCTGCCCCAAGGACAACGTCGAGCCGGCCCGCGAGGGCCACCTGGCGGACCTCACCTACGTGGAGCTGAAGCAGGACAGGCGGTGCGCGGTCCTCCCGCGGCTCCCGTATGTGGGCCGCGGGTGGTACGCCAAGCCGCCGGCGGCCTACATGCTGGAAAGGGGCATCGCGACCTCGGCCCACTTCGCCTGGAGCCTGGACGCCACGGCGCACGTGGACCAGGAGTCCGTGGCCCAGGCCCTGCAGCAAATGAGGAGGCGTGGCCCGAGGGCGAGGAGCACTACGCCAAGCTGTCGGTCAACGCCCTCATCGGCCTCTTTGCGCGCAACATGGACCTGATCTACACGATGCGCACCAGCAACCACGAGTACGACGGCTCCGGGTGCCAGTACCGGGAGCTCTTCGTGGACACCGTGGGGGGGATGCACTGGGACCACATCTACGTCACGCAGCTGCTGTCCAACAAGAGCTGCCGGCCGATTCACGACTTCGTCATGGCCTCGGAGTACGTCGCGGCGGGACCAAGTACCTCAAGGCCATCAAAACCGACTGCGTGGTCTTCCAGGACCTGCCCAAGAAATACCAGCCCCTGTTGGACGGCGCAAGAAGCACCCCGACGGCACGCCCGTGTACCGGTGCGAGGAGGTCAAGGCCCTCGAGGGCCAGTACCGGAACCCGTGCATCGAAGCGGAGCCGCCCGTCTAACTGGAAGCTCGCGGAGGACCCGGTGCTCCACTGCCTCGAGGGCGAGAGCCTGCTGCGGCAAGACTCACCTGGCCCGCCAGATCGTGACCCGCCTCCGGGAAGAGGGGTTCCGGGTCAAGATCATCACGAAGACCCACTCCGCTGTGCAGAACTTCGGCAGGCGGAGACGGCCGACGACTGGGTGGGAGCAGCATCCGGAACGGGTACTGCAACGTGGACTGGCTCGTCGTGGAGGAGATCACGATGCTCGACACCGGGCTCTGGAGCGACATCGCCTGCCTCTCCATGAACCGCCAGGTCAACTTCCTGCTGCTCGGCGACTTCCGGCAGTTCCCGGCGGTGATGGACAACTTCGCCGGCGCTCAGGTCATCCGAGAGCTGAAGACCTGCCTAGCCCAGGAGAGGTTCCCGAAAAGGGGCGAGCCGGACGTCAGCCTGGTCATCTCCCACGCCCACCGCATCAAGATCAGACAACCGTCGGCCTGGCCCCGCCGGAAGCTGTGACGATCGAGTACACCGGCACTGGCCCGACGACCACCAACATGCCGCAGACCATGCGGGTCTGGCCCGGCCTGAAGCTCATCGGGGCCGGCGGCCGCGTCACCAAGGGCATCTACGTGCATGTGGCCGAAGAGGGTCCCGAGAAGGTCGTCTTGGACGGCGGCGACTCCTTCACCCACGCCGCCCTCCTGAAACACACCCGGCTGCATGTGCCACGCCATCACTTACGCCTCGTGTCAAGGCCTGACGCTCGAAGGGCGGGTCTTCCTGTGCGACACCGAGAGCCCGCACTTCACCCTCAAGCACCTCTATGTGGGGAGCAGCAGGGCCACCAGCAGCGGGTTGTTGAGCGTGCTCTAAGAAGAAGGGGCACCGGAGGGCCGGGGCCTCAGCCTCCCTGAGCTGCAGGTCCGTCACTTCGAGCAGGAGCCCGCACTGACCCGACATTAGCCAGACCTGGCGCAAATCTGCGCGCACCTTGCACTCCCGATTGGCCAGGTCGCCGGGGTCCTCCAGCGGCTGCTGGTCGGCGTCCCAGAAGTGGACTCGGGACAAATCGACCTTGAGCTTGATGAAGCTGTTGCCGCGGGAGGAGGTCTTGAGGCAGGACACGAAGCGACCCTCCACGTCCGACGCGGCGAGGTAGCGGCCGAAGATTTTAGAGTCGCGGAGACATCGCTGGGTCAGCTGGCCCTTGATGTCCTTCTCGATCGCCTCCAGGTCTGCCTTGGCGGCCTCGTTCTGCTCGAGACACAGGGGGAGTCGCCGGGCTTCCGCCTCGCTGCCGTGGGAGCTGGCGTGCCACAAGATGCGCAGCCACTCGCGGGACCGCCAGGCCTCCGCGCACACCGGGAAGAACTTGCCGCCACGCTGGTTGGTCGTAAGCTCACCGAGCTTGAGTACGGTTTTGGCCTCCATCGCTCCCTTTTTTTCCCGACAAGAAAAAAAATGCCGGCCACTGTCTCCACCGCGGAGTGTGTGGGGGTGGCCCTGCTCGCCTGCCTGCTGGTGCTGTGGGCATTTTCTTACCCTTCATCAAATGAAGCTCCTGGAGCTGTTCAGCGGCACGGGGTCGGTCGGCCGTGCCTTCGAGGCCCGTGGCTGGGAGGTAACGAGTCTTGACAGCAACCCGAAGGCCCGCCCGAGCATCTGCTCCGACATCCTGCAGTGGGACTACAAGGCCTTCGAGCCCGGGCACTTCGACATGGTGTGGGCCTCGCCCTGTTGCACCGAGTTCAGCATCGCCCTCAAGAAGCGCCCCCGCAACCTGCCGGTCGCGCCCTGGTGCTCAAGACGTTCGAGATCATCGACTACCTCAAGCCCAAGTGGTGGGCCATCGAGAACCCGAGCACCGGGCGCCTCAAAACCCGCCCCTACATGCAAGGGCTGCACATGGACCGGTTCACGTACTGCAAGTACGGCTTCCGGTACAAGAAGCCCACCGCAGTGTGGCACAACCTGCCCTGGACCCCCTCCCAGGGGCCCTGCCGCAAGGGCGACCGCTGCGAGGCCTTCCAAGGAACTCGGCACCCCGAGGCCGCACAGCGAGGGCCCACCAAGGGGCGGCAGGGGAGCAACTCGCGGGACCAGCTCTACTCCATCCCGCCGGCGCTGTGCGACGAGATCGCCGCGAGCGCATCGCTTGGTGTAAATGGGGAGGGTGCGTCTCTTCAAGACGCCTGAGTACTCCGTCAAGCAGCCCCCCGACCCCGTGGTCTGCAAGCCCCCCGCCAACGGGATCCTGTGCGCCCCATCGGCTTCCGGGAAGACGGTGCTTCTCGTCTCAATGATTTTGGAGCAGTACAGGGGCTGCTTTGAGCGCATCTACATCTTCACAGTCCTTCGGTCGAGGTCGATTCTGCCTGGCAGCCCGTTAAGGACTATATCCGGGACGAGCTAGGCGTGAACACTGACCGGGAGCAGTGCTGGTGGGAGGATTGGGACGGGGGGGCGCTGCGGAAGATCATATCGGACCAGAAGCGTATCACCCAGAAGAGCAAGGAGCTGGGCCTCAAAAACCTGTACTCGGTCTTGGTGGTGCTCGATGATCACGCGGATAACCCCGCCGTGCACAGAAAGACGGGTGACGGGGTCCTGGACACACTATTCATTCGGGGCCGACATTTCTGCATAAATACATGGGTGAGCACACAGAAACTGCGTCTTATGAGCTCCGCCGTGCGGGTCAACGTGATGTTCTACTGCGTCTTCCGGCTGCGAAATCAGCTCGAGTTGGATGCGTTGGTGGAGGAACTCTCGGCCATGCTGCCGAAGGAAACCCTGTACTCGATGTACGAAGAGGCCACGAGGGAGCCCTACAGCTTCTGGTTTGTGAATCTGCGAGCCCCGAAGGAGTCGATGTTCTTTACTCGGTTCGAGAGGCGCTTCCTCGTAAACGGCGATGGGCAGCCTGCTGAGCCAGATAGTGGGCAAGCTGCTGCCCCTGCGCGAGAGCGAGTGCAGCAACATTAGGTGCTGTAGCAGCACGCAGGGCATCTACGACCCGAGCCGGAATTGGCCCCCGCCGGACAGGTCACGGCAGGTCTCCGACGAGTCCACCGCCAGCGACTTCTCCGTCCGCCCCGCACGGTTTTTCAGGCGTAAAAGAAAGCCGCTCATGACCTCCATCTATGTGGATTCGCGCCTGCGCACGCAGGGCACAGACAGCAGCTTCTCGTTTGACATCGGCGAGTCGGTGCACATCCAGAGCGGGGCCAAGCTGGCCGTCTACTAGGTGCGCATCGCCGACGCTTTTCTTAGCACCGACCGCGGGACCTTCCTGTACTGGACGGACGAGGTCGCCGGCACCCTGCACTACGCCGAGCTGCCTGTCGGCGCATACACGGGCCCACGGCTAGCGGCGTGGATCTCCAGCAATTTCGCGGCGGCCACGTACACAGCCGAAACAAATGAGCTGGACGTCACCTACGACGGCGTGCGCCTGATCCTGAACGACGCCAAGCTCCGGCAGCGCTTTCCGGGCACGGGCTCCTACCCGCCGGGCGCCTCGCCCAGCAAGCCCCTGTCCATCACAATCATCTTTTGGGCCCCAGCTACCTCACGGGCTCCGTGCAGCGCTTCGTCTTCGTCACTATGAATCCGTTCTCCGAGCTGTACTTGCGCTGCCCCTCGCTGGCCAACGGGGAAACCACCGTCGGCCCGCTGGGGCACGACATCTTGCGCAAGATCGTGGTGTCCAAGGGCGTGGGCCATGTCATGGAGACCGAAACCTCGGAGGGGCACTGGGTGAACCTGCACGGGCCCATCACGCTGAGGCATTTGCGCTTCAAGCTCACCGACTACCAGGGCAATGTGGTGGACACCAGAGGCACCAGCGTGTCCTTCCTGATCTTCTTGGAAAATGTTTTTTCGATTAAATGGCTGAGGAAGATGCACCCGCTACTGTGGCCCCCGAGCCTCCCATGGCCGAGCCTCCCGTGGCCCCCGAGCCCGCCCAGCCGGCGAAGCCTGTGGTGGTGGCCGAACCCCCCAGCCGGTCCCTGAGCCCACCGAAGCTCCTGAAGAAGCGCCGCAGCCCAAAAGGCGAGGCCGACCCCCCGGCTCGAAGAACAAGCCGAAGCCGCCCCCGACGGTGGCCGTGGCGGAGCTTCCTAAGCCTCCTCAGCCGGTTGAGCCGCCGCAGCCCCAAGAGCCCCCGCAACAAGAGTCCCCACAACAGCCCGTGCCCCCTGAGCGGCCGTCGGGCATGACGTCCTCGGAGGCCCGCCAGGCCCGACAGCTCTCCCGCGCCGAGCCAATTCAGCCTCAAGACGGGGGTCAACATGCTGACCATGGGCCGCATCTTCGCGGACTCCAGCCTGGGCATCGCCACGGCCGGCAGCTTCCAGGCGGACACGGTGGAGCCCCTGCTTCCGACCAATCAGTTCCTGAACCTGAAGGCGGGCACCGTGTCTGTGCGTGTCACGGACCAGGCGGACCAGAGCCTCTGCACTTTTGCCACGTCAGAGGTGCACTCGGTGGCCCCGCGGCTGCGAGTGGACACAGACCTCTACATCGACGACGCCACGGGCACGGCCACGGGGGTGGTGACCAATGCGATCTCCACGCGGGTCCAGGAGGCTCCGGGGGCACCGTCGTCAATGGCGCCCTGGATGTGCAGGGCACGCTGACCTCGGAGAGCGTGGAGCTCAGCACGGAGCTGCGGGCGCCCACGGTGCGGGCGAGGCCCACACACGACTACCTCACCCTCACGGGCGGCACGCAGGGGACCTACCTCAACTCCGTGCTCTACACCGCCAGTGCGATTCGGGCCGACAACGGCATCGTCTCGAGCCCGGCCTACCTGGAGCTCATAGGTGGGTTGACGGGGGTGCAGGCACAAGGGGATTTGCAGGTGGTGTCCACCGTCAACAGCGGGGACGTGACGGCCGAGGTGCTGAACCTCGCGACCGCGGGCAATGCGCGGCTCCTGGTGACCTGCCATGCAGGGTCGGGGGAGCTCTCCGCCTCTTCCGCGGGAGGCGTGCAGCTCTACGCCCAGGACCAGGCCAACTTCCTGCGCACCTCCTCGGCGGGGCCGGCCAACCTCATCGTGGAATCGAACACGGGCGGGGCCAACGATGGGGAAGTGATCGTGAATTATGGGTTCCAAAATCTCTCGGACGAGAAGCTGAAGCACAGCGTGGAGCCTGCAGCAGCTCTTCGACGCCGTGGCACCCAAGTGGTACCGGCGGACCGAGGGGAGCCAGAAGCGTACGTTGGGTTTCATCGCGAATGAAGTGCAGGAGACGGGGCCCGTGGGCCAGGCGCTGTGCGGCAAGCTCGTGGACGAGGAGCTGGGGGAGCTCGTGACGCTCGACTACAACCGCATGTGCTGCGTGCTGTGGGGTGTCTGCCAGGGGCTCCGGGCCCGCGTGGAGGCTCTTGAGAAGAAGCCCAAGAAGCGCTCGTGATATAAAATGGACGCGGAGAACGTGAACCTATTCCGGCAGCTGGCCGCGGACTTCTCGGTCCGCGATGTGCGGAAGCTGCACCAGCTGGCACGGCGGGAATTCCCGGACCGGCCGGGCATGAGCTATGCCCGAGCCGCGCGAGCTTTGCGGGACGACGTGGCCAGGCAGATTTTGGCCCCCAAGCCCCGGTCTTTAGGCAAGAGTGCAGCCGAGGGCCCCAACGATCGGCTGCAAGCTGATTTGATCGACTTCAACGTCAACACTCGGGGGGCCAACAAGTACGGGCTGATTGTCTCAGACGTTTTCACCCGAGAAGCAGTGACCAAAGCCCTGCCCGATAAGAAGACAGAGACAGTCTCGGCAGCAGCCCGGGAGATCATCCCGAAGCTGGTGGAGGAGGAAACCAATTATGTTGTGTCCACGGATCAAGGGGTTGAATTCAATGGCCTGGAGGGGGCGCTGCCGGACCCCGTGGTGCACAGAGTGAAGGACCCCTCGGATCGGAACGCTCTGGCAGTGGTAGATAGAACCATCCAAACCTTGAAACGGGACCTGGCCAGCGACGTGGCCCGGCATGGGGGCAACTGGAGCGAGCACCTGCCTGACGCAACCTTGGCCTACAAGCGCCGGCCACACGAGGCCGTGCATGCGGCCCCCGAGGATGTGGAGCACCAAAAATCCACCATGTTCCGATTGCACCAAGACAATGCCAAAAAGTTCCAGCACAACATGCAGCTCACCCGGCGCAGACAAGAGAGACTGGAGGAGATGGGGGCCTTCCGGGCCCCAACCAATGCGCGACGAAGCTTCGAGCCCCAATATGGAACCGCCAAGGATGTGGCATCCTACGACAGCATGGTGGTCAGGGCCACTGATGGCTCCGAGACCTTACTAAAGCACCTTACCCGTGCCCCGCGGGAGCACTGAGCCTAAAGCGAGACTCACTCGCCCACCAGTACCACTGGCAATCAGGCAACTGCGAGACTTCAATCCAGGGCCTGCTGC